TATTTCATTTCCACGTGTCAACGATATCAGGAAATACGGACGTACTTTATTCATGGTTCTTGACCCATAACGACAATTCATCATGTAAGATCAACAGTGTTTCCAAACTCATCTAATCACTTATTTCATCCTCGGTCATTAAGGTTACTTAATTTATTTAGCAATCAAGTTTTTCTTGGTTACTTCGGAGTTTTCCAGAGTAATTCAGATGTTTCTGAATTCCAACTACGTATTGTACTTTCGATCAGTTCAATTTAGTCCTATAATAAAGTCATTCTGGTATTTGTGGTTGATTTACCTCACGAATATCCATTGGTTACTATCGAAAGCGCTCTAACGTTGAGCTGAGCTGAGTACTTCCATAATTATCCTCAATCCAAACTTGAGGAAACGAACTAGCATTCAAGTGTTACCTATGTTATTCAAGTGTTGATATAGCACTATCATTGGTTGACCGGCTTAAGTTACGTTCCTTAACTTTTAAGAACAGTACAACATCCATGCTTATTTGAATTTCTTTATTTAATTCAAGACATTTACTTAGTCTAGGCCATAAGGGCATTTTGGTCATACTGGTGCCCAATATTTTTTTTCTATTCATTTCCAAGCTTAAAGATATACATTCAATCCTGGGCTTGATGATATTCTTGATTCATTTCCATTACAAGGGTATTTTTGTCATTTTACATATCTAGGGTATTTTTCAATCATTTCCTTCCGTCCGATCTTATTATTTAATTCAAACTTATCATTTTCTCCAGTTATTTCTAACAATTCTGACAAAAGAGCACCATCTATAAAATATTCTTCATGTGCTTACTCAACTCGTAGATTTCCAGGTTAAATGCCTTATCAGATGTTACTAACGAATTATCAGAAATTTTCCATACAAAAATAGGATCTCAACAATTAAATCAGTAATTTATCAATTTAGCACAAATTTTCAGGTTACTCTCTAATTCAGATTCAACTCGGACTATTTTTACCTCTCAAGAGCATTTTTGTAATTTCGTAACCAAATAATCTCGTTATTAACTCTTAACGAAAATAATTATAATTTAGAGATCTTAAGATTAATTGTTTTCCCGAACATTCTCTAATCTTGAAATGATTCCCTTAACAAACTTCTAGCATCTTGCACAAACCCTCTTGGGGTTAAAAACCAGTTATCCAAATCTTCTAAGCAAAACTAGCATTTCTTATACACATTAGTAATTTTATCAGATCAATATGTCTTTTCAGAGTTATTAACCAACTTCCAGGGATAATTCTTGTCATCTTTCAACATAAGGGTATTTTTCGTAATTTTACCCTATCGGAGTATTCTTATAATTTCCAATCCAAGTACCTTTGATGAAATAAATTATAATTTACATAACTAGACTGATTCATTTATCACTTAATTACAAAGCTTGTAGTTTAATTCCAACTGTCCTCCAATTTCTTATATTAATAATATGAACCATATTTAGTTATCGTATTTTTACTATATTCAGATCGAGTGTAGAAATTAACTAACTACACAAATGAGACCAAACATTTTTTATTCATGCATTTACTAATATCAACATGTTCCATGAAGCATAAAGAGGTAGTAAAGTATTATCTCGATTTCTGTGTCATATCAATCGACCATTTAAATTCCATTTGAACGCCCTCGATTTTCAATTCAACTTCCAATATTTTCCTCACGATCTAGGCCATCAAAATTACTAACTCGTATCCAAATAATTTCCCTCGCCATAAAAATAACTTATTAGAATCTAAATAATAATTTGAGGACTCAATTGGTAAAATTGAAAACTAATGTTGCCATCAAAATAGTTAATTACTTAAATTAGTGACTAAATTAATCTTGTAAGAACTATTATGCCATAACTATAATCACTTGGAAACTAAGAGACAAGGTAAAGATCTCACCAAACTTGGATGGCATACCTTGTGATTTACCCCTTTTTGCATATTATCAACAATTCCCCACAACCCACGTGCTTTACTATTTCTTCACTTCAAACTTTCTTTCACCCATACTTTCTTTACTTGTTTCTTCATTTATTATTATTATTATTATTATTATTCTTTCTCTCTTCTTCACTCGTGAGCTCATACATAATAGGCATGGATGCTTCTCATTCGGCCGATCACCGACCACCGTAAACACTTGCTTCCGGAAACATGATCTACAACATGACAAGTATCTATCGTGAAAGAAGCTGTTTGGAGTTGATAAATAATAACAGGGCTAAAGCACCGTTGTCTTTCGTCCAGAGGCACTCACGGTGGTACCTCATGTCGGGGATGGTACGGGAGAAGACGGTGAATATGGTCTCGAGATGGCGGTTCGAACAAATGATGGGGAAAAGCTTGTAAAGAAGGTGCCGACTATCGAGAGCAGGGAGGAAATGCTCATCTCATCCACCTTTGATTTCGAGTGAAGGGTGGTGATCTAGCATTGCAGTGATTGTTGATTCTGCGAGTATTGCCGTGGAGATCGTTTCCTTTGTTTGAGCAGTTTCTTCACTTGTTGAAACTCCATTAACTAGAACCAAGATAACTTGTGGGAAGATGCCTAGAACATTGAACAAACTGGCACCAAAAATACTAGTTCCAAACATTTGAAAGAAGATATTAGAGCTACTGGAAATGACAAAGCAATACATTTATTTAATTGATTTCCAGCTTTGGCGGATACAAAAGCTAGTTGGCCGAAAGTGAAAGTTGAAAGTAATGTATTCCAACCTTGTCTGCAATACCATTATCTTTACTAAAAAATTATATCACTTATTTAGTGGCTCTCAATTTGATTAATAAAATAATAATATGCTAAAACAATTATTTACCAATCATACTTTATATCCTTTCACATATTTTAAACTAAAATAATTCTAACCCCATATTTGGGTGTGACGGAAGAATTATGAGACTATATGTATATGTGAATGTGAGATAAGCTAAATATTAATACCCATGTTATGTGTCAATAGAGCTAGAGATATAGTTGGCATGCCAAGAGTCGAGGGTCTACGCGGTCCTTCGGGACATATATGTATTCTTTGGAATGTGTATGAGGTTTTTTGAGATACATACTTGGTCCTTAGCATATGTATATGATTCTTAAGGAATTTTCTACGTGGTCCTTAGGGACATTTTATATGGCATTTCGGTGCAATTCTACACGGCACTTCGGTGCAATTCTACACGGCACTTCGGTACAATTCTACGTGGCACTTCGGTGCATTTATACGAGCTGTGGTGACAATATTAGTGCAAACCTCTAGAGACTCACATATTTATAGTTCTCACATATGTACATGGGCTAATCAAGAGATAATAACAAATATATGTTGTGATATGATAAATTTTATAGCAAGGACATGAAGAGGTATGGGTATAGTATATGATTAAGAAGGTTAAGTATATGTGCTATGTGATTAAATGATAAGTGACTAATAATGATTTATATGTATGCATGTATTTCTTATTAGATAATCTGATATGATTTATATGATGATGTCTGTATTGCTTGGTTAATTGTATCATATGTTGAGTAAAAGAATAGATATAAGAGGATATAATTATAATATATAAATGATAAGAATATTGATAGTGGAATAAGGGTAGAGATGAAAATAATGTGTGATATGTATATGTGTATAGTACGTTATATATAATGTTATATTGTTTTGATGTGGCATTATAAGATGATATGTTCATGCATGTGTAAATAGTTAGAGTTCTTTTATAATTTAATGCCTTACTAAGTCATAGCGTGTGATTGTTTCACACGTAGGTTACAGAAACGATAAGAGAAGTTCAGAGGAGACAGGTTAGCATATTCCTTACGTATATGCTCTAATTGGTTTGTAAAACAATTTGATTATATTTATTTCTAAAAAAATTAATCACTTTTTCAAATGATGAATTTAAGATTTTGGTGGATTTGTAAAGAAAATAATTTTGAAAAGTCAATGTGACACATCGGATCCGGATCCGGGTTTGATACGGGTCGAGGGTGTTACAAAAAATAAGTGTTCAAATTATACTTTTTTTCTATTTAGGTGTCTAAATTTATTTTGATCAATGTAAGTGTCTAACGACTAACGTTAAAAACTTAACTATATTAAGTGTCTCCGTTGTAACAAACGTTGAAAAAATCCTTTAAGTGATACATGTCATGTTAGAATATTTTTTAAAAATTATTTTAAAAAATATTTTTCTAAAAAACTAATACTTTAATCCCCTTCCCTCCAAGCAACCCTCCACCACCATTAGCATTGATCATTTCCTTCACCTTCCTTTTTTTTCCCTCTCCTTTTTAAATCCCAGTACTGCTTCTATTCCAAACCAACAGTTTTCCAAAGCAAGCTCTAGTTTCCATTAAAACTCCTACACCCAACGTGACGTCGTTGCAAGTTCTCGTAGCCGCAACTGAAAATGGTGATTCCAAGCGAACCCCATCTCCATCATCTTCCGTTTCACGTACAAAGCCAATGAAAAGAACCCGGATAAACTCGACATCGATGAGTTGTCTCTCAAAAACCCAGATATGGGGTTTATGTATTTAAGGGTTTAAGATGATAACAAAGGTACTGACCGATCAGTAAGTGGGCAACGACATATGGTCAACGATGACTGAAAATGAGGATTAAAATTAGAGATTCTATGATTTTGAGGATTTTTTTATAATTTTTTTAAAAAAATAGATTTTTTGTAATTTTTTTTAAATAGAAATTTCAAAAAAAAAAATATAAACGTAACATGTGTCAGATAACCGTCCTTTTTAATGACTATTATGGCCGAGACGCTTAAAATGATAACAATGATAACGTTGATTACTTACATTAATTGAAAAGAAAAGTTTAGACATCTAAAATCTAACCAGTGAAAGAAATATAGTTTAAAAAGGTTGTAGAAACATCTCATTTTATTCTGATAATGGAGGGAATCATGGAATTCATTCACCTCCCTTCAGTCTTTGAAGTGAACGGAATTCCACAGTTACTTGCACATAAGAGAAGGATATTTATTAAACAAGTGGACTTAAGCCTAAATCGCATCGCTAAAGCTCTTACCTGCGGATTCTAGATTAATCAATCAGTGAAAGCCACTCGGTGCCTTCTTGGCATGTCGTTGGCAAAACACTTTTATCCTCGCTAACCCTTCTTCCAGAATTGAAGGCTCAACAGCAAAAGTAATGCGGAGCCAATTCTTCAATCCCACTGCTACCCCTGCAATGCAATCAGAGTCAGACGTAAAATTTTATGTTAGAAGACAAAAATAAATTATCAATAAAAAATATTTATAATATATGAAAATTTAAAATTTTCAAGGAGCAACCGATTGAAACCAATGGTTCATGGAGCAGCTGAGGCAGTGAAACAGGTGTAGAAGCAAAAGGGTAATTGTGCAAGAGCATCAAATGCAAAATATAATAAGTACAAATACATTAGAGTAACTTGGTTCAACATAGTATTTTTCTTGTGGTGCGTCTTCATAGCAAGTATAAATACTCTTACTCAAATCAATAGATCAAGTTCTTGACTCTTCTAAGAACACTTTCACCGGCAAACATGTTATACTCTATACAAAATAGGCATAATACTAAAATTAGCCCCCAATGTTATTAAAATAATCATTTTGACCCCTATTCTTTTTTTGAAACATTTTGGCTCAACGTTTCATTTTGGGACAAAAATGTCCCTCCGTTGATGGAAACCGTTAGTTAACAAACGGTTAACGTTCCAAAATAGGGACATTTTTACTCTAAAATGAAATTTTGGGGGCTAAAATACTCCAAAAAAAGAATAGGGACCAAAATTATCATTTCGATAAACGTTTAGGGCTAATTTTGACATTATGCCTACAAAATAAGAAAAGTTCAAAAAAGTTATGCTAATGAACTCGAGTGTGTCAGTTAAACTATATTCATAAAACTTAGATGAGTTTATTGTCTTACCCGGCAGAACAATGACCGATTCTTCTTCAGCTAACTTCAAGCAGAACTCTATATCATCATTAATGTCTTCCAGCATTGATACATTCAACTTCGCCTGAAATAAAAGACACTAAACTAAGAACCCTATTTCAATTTACAATTTCTGTAGCATGGATCACAAGTTAAGTCCCATACCATTGCAGACATCGACCCTTCTGGTTTCTTCGGGCAAGATATGCAGGGTATCTCCTTAACACCATTGTAGCACATATCTGCAGCTTCCCTTAGCATGCAGATAATCTTAGAAAAAAAGTCCACCTTTGTGTCCGAAAGGATTTGAGGAACAGCCGCCTGATTCACAAAACTACTTTACTCTGTCCTCATCAAGAGGTTGCAATAAAAAATTACAAGCATCTGTGGTGCTTAAAGATTCAAAATGAAAATTCATATTAACAGACAGATCTCAAAATTTATAATATAAAGCAAGAAAATATTCATTGGCAGATAATACTATGCTTTATTTGTCGTTTTTCATTATATCCCAAGTCTTTCTTATCTAAAATGTAAGCAAAATATGTTTCCTACTTTAATTGCTTTAGAAATGCAAATACCCTTTTCAGGGACTAACTATTTCCTCCTGGCTTTCGGAAATACATTTCGTTTAAACATTTTTGGGTTTGACACAGCTCTATCTTGAATCACAAACCTGAATAAATGTAGCTGGATCAGAGGAGATATTGAGGAATCCAGTAATTGAATCAACTAGCTGACATAAACAAATGACATTATCAGTACAGTGTTTATTTGCTGGAAATATGCATATAGACTTCAGTAACTGAAAATCATATGTGCAACTTATATAATGCACCAAGAATCTTGAGCCAAAGGAAGGGACAATAATTAGAGGCCAACCCCGGATTTTCGAAGAATGCCATTTGGATCACTTGTCACAAGCCAACCGAGGCGCCAACCCGGAACAATCCATCTCTTTGATATTGATCCAAGGGTAAGAACAGGCACAGTTGACCCAAATGCTCGAACCGGCACGTATGGAGTGCTTCCAAATGCTAGATTGTCATAAGCTTCATCACCAATCAGCAAAACTCCTAGATTTCTAGCTGTCTCAGCAATCTAACTTCAGGGGGAAAAAACAGTTATCACTGTTTGTATCTAAAGAAAAAAAAAAGCCAAGAAATTGTGCCTAAAATAAGAACTTGAACTCCCAATAACATACAAGTACCAGCTTTTCTCTTCATTGTCTATTATGAGACAAGCTATAAAGAATCAAACATCCATGGCAACAAGATCCACAATCCTCAAGAAGGGCTTAACTAACCTCTTTTAAATGTTCATAGCTGAAGACATTTCCACAAGGATTTCCCGGGTTTATAATGACCATTGCAACAGTGTTCTCATCTGCAAGAGTCTCAACAGCATTGAGATCAACTGCCCACTCCTTTTCAGGGAGAAGGTCAAAATGACGGACCTCGAGACCGTTATAGGCAGCACAAGCTTCATAGTAGGGGTAGCCCGGTCTGGGAAGCAAAATATTGGCACCTGCAGAGACGACACAAGGAGAACTTATCAAATTTTAGGGGCTTAAATAGATTACCCACAGAGAATTCAAAGAAAATGTCTAAAATATACGAATTTGAAATTTTCAGGAGACAGAGGCACCTGGGCGAGCAAGGACTGCTAATGCAATTTCTATTGCTTGAGTACATCCGATTGTAAGGTAAACATCATCTGGTGATAATGTGTATGGAAGATCACGACTAAGATAATCTGCAATAGCCCTGTTGGAATTCATATTAGATAAATACAAATTTTCAGTCAAGTAAAGGAAATAATAGGAATGAACAATATTATGAACACCGAAACGGTGATTTCATAATGAAAAAGAGAGAGTCAAACACACTTACCTCCTGGCAGAAGAAACGCCAACAGTGGGTGAATAACAATTATATTTAGCCGATCGTAGGGAATCGATGATGGCATTTTCAGCTACAGCCGCGGTCCTGAAGCTTGGAAAATGGGAGGGATCGCCGTGACCAAGAGGAATGACTGGCCTGCTGTCTTCTTTGTTGAGGCCTTCCATTAACATGTTGAGAACTCCCCGGACGGTAACGGCTGATGTTGCCTTTAGCTCCGTCTGCCCTTCGAAACCCCATTTCTTTGCTCTATTCTCCACCATCGTCTTCTTGCAATCTACATTACCAATGACGGTGTTGGTCATGGTTGAGTAGCGGCGCTTGGAGACGTTGAGCGCCATAAACAGCCTAGAAAACTTCATCTCAAGCAAGTTCACAAGTCCGAAGTGTGAGAAACAGGGAGGAAAAGGAAATGTGGGCAATAATGCGACTGCAAAGGGTAAAATCAATCCGTGAATACATTTGGTAGAAGAGTGAGGAGCGGCTTATAATGGACTCTATCCTAACGGGTGCACTGGCGTCACTAAAATCATGGCGTATCCTTTTTTTTTTTTTGTCATCTGTGTATTTTTTTATAAGTAAATTGTGTCACTTGTCTTTAAATTAAGACCTTTATTTTAAATTAATACTTAAACTTTTGGATAGTTTAATTTCATTCTAAATCATGATTCTTATTTTTCAAATTTTTAAATATTTTGATTTCATCTATAAATTATAACTCTCATTTTAAATTGGTCTCCATACTTTTAAATCTTCTAATTTCATCTCAAATTCATTCAAATGTGTAACTAGCTTCAACCATAGATTAATCTAAATTTTATTTTTTTCAAACATATAAAAATATAACTTGACCTAACGATTTTATTAACAATGATGCAATTAGCATATACTGATAGTTTGAATGAAATTGAAACTTCCAAAAGTTCGAAGATCAATTTAGAATAACTGTCATAGTTTATGGATGAAATTGCAACATTCAAAAGTTTGAGGAATATTTTAAAATGAGAGTTGATGATGAAATTAAAATATTTAAAAATTTAAAGAATAATTCAAAATAAGAATCATAATATGAGAAAGTACAATTGAATTGAATTTATTTTATTCTATTCTATTCGGAATGGAGATTCCATTGATGCTAAACACTACAACAATAGAAACCTACGGGCCCACTATAACAAAAGGGCATAGAAGCCTAAGAGAATCGCATAATGAGACCTGCCTAGGGCACAACAATCTTCCCTATGCGTGCCCCTCCAATTATAATTTGACACGTGGATTTCATTATTTACTTAATTAGTAAAAGGTAATAATAATGATTTAAAGATCCTTTCAGTTGCTCCTCTTCTTGAAAATCGGTGAATATAGGAGGCCGAAAGATGATAAATGGCTTAAATTAAGAGATGCCCAAGTTTGATTTTAATTTCTACTCTTTTGATTTTGCTGATTGAGTCGATCCATCCTTCAATGATCCACAATTCATATTGCTCCAATTATGTTCAAACAAGAAAACAACTCAAACTAAGAATGGAAATTTCTATAACTTGAACTTTGTTTGAATAAGATGATTTCTTAGTAAACCCAATTAAAAAACTTTTCGGGTCGAGTAGCCAATAATATTAATTTAAATCAGAGATAGATCGAAGGTGATAGGTTGAGATAGTCGATTCCCTAAAAAATTAAATTATTTTATATTTTAGATGTCTTCTTTACATTTTTTTATTTAAAATCTGTTTCATTCCACCTGGAATCTTATAAGTTAGCTCTCTGTTCAAATTTTATAAATTCGACTCCAACATAAATTTTTACATACATCTCTGATTCGAACTCTGACATTTACCTTGAAAATGTAATACATCTCCACTTAATAAAAAAAAACCTCTCTCCGATTGAAATCAAGTTTTAACATATTCTTTTAATTTTAGGTGAACACATATATTATATTTTAATACCTGTTTTTCAATTTATAAATTAAACAAATCCATCATTCTCGAAAAAAACAGAATAATTTAGTTCATATGTATTACACTAATGAACAAATAAGAACGATCTATGACAATGTTAATCTTTTTCTATTACTACGTAACACATGTACAATTGTGATTGGGTAATTTTTAAAAAGTTTGACATATTTACATAATATTTAAGATAATATAGAACTTTAAAAGTCGTTAGAAACTATATAAAAAAGAGAAAATCGCCTCAGTGACCAAAAAAAAGTTATAATATACGATTTTAACCAACTTTTTTTGGATTTGCCAAAATGACCAACAAATTCGCAACGCGAAATAAAAATCGCAACGCGATCCCCAGAATCGCAAATCAGTTTCCAAAATCGCAACGCGATTCTTGAAAATCGCGATGCGATAGTACAAATTCGCATTGCGATTTTCCATAATCGCAACGCGAATATGAAAATCGCAACGCGAACACATAAATCGCAACGCGTATCCGTAAATCGCAACGTGTATCCGTAAATCGCAACGCGTATGGGTAAATCACAATGCGTATCCGTATATCGCAACGCGTATCCGTAAATCGCAACGCGTATCCGTAAACCGCAACGTGTATCCGTAAATCGCAACGCGTATCCGTAAATCGCAATGCGTATCCGTAAATCGCAACGCGTATCCGTAAATCGCAACGATAATCCGTAAATCGCAACGCGTATCCGTAAATCGCAACGATAATCCGTAAATCGCAACGAGAATCTGTAAATCGCAACGATAATCCGTAAATCGCAACGAGAATCTGTAAATCACAACACTGAAATTTTGGGTATATAACACTGAAATCATAAACTAAATCCCTAAATCGCAACTCATTCCATCTCCATCTATCACTCTCTCCGGCGACATCCGTTCCTATATCCAACGACATCCTTCCCAATCCGGCAACAGGTTTTAGTTTCGCAGCTCGTCTGTTTAGTAAATTAATTTACAACCATGAAATCATCTAATGTTGATCATGTTTGGATAGATTTGTGTTTTGGAGGGTCATGGGATAATGTTCATGGTGTTTTACAATATATGCCTTTACCCATGAATCTTCAACTAAAATTGTCTTTACAAAAGTTAACTTATGAAACTCTAATGCTACGTGTTTCAAATAAATTGAATTTAGAGCCCCTAAGTGGATTTAGGCTATCTTATCAGAGAAATGGTAAAGTTTATTTGTTAACCGACAATGAAGATGTTGAACGATTCATTGCTTACATTAGTGTTTCACAAGATGATGTTACATTGTATGTTGTTGAACCTAGAAGTAGTATTGTTGGGTCAGTAGCGGGTAGTAATCAACTAAGTTTTTCTCAAAACCCACAACCTTTCTCTAATCCAAATCCCAATCAACTTTCAGCACCAAATTCCGGTTTTCGTATTGACCAGTTAGACGATGATGAGCCAACAGAAAAAATTGTGAGTACTAGTCAGTATTCGAAATTTGGTCTTGGTCAATATCCGGACTTTGATATTGGTCAATACACGGATTTTGATGATGTTTCAGAAGAAGAAACAGACCATGCGTGTAATGATATTGATATTGGTCAATACCCGAATTTTGATGATGAAACAGCCGTTGCCGAAGAATGTAATGTTGATGATAATGAGGAGGAAGTTACGACTGTGAATGAACATGTTGAACATCCATTCTGTAATTCATATAATCCTGAAGAAGAAAAAGAAGAAGAAAAAGTCCCCGAAGAAAAGAAAATGCCACGGGCGTATAACTGGAATATGCCAGAATTACTTCAGATACCGGAAGAAGAGTTGATAAAGAAAGCAGTTGATTGTTACACAAAAGTTATTCGTATCAAGAAAGATGATTGTTTTGATACAAAGGAAGACTTGAAGATAGCTTTATATACGAAATGTGTGGAAGATGGCTATCAACTAAAAGTTAACAAATCAAGCAAAGATCGTTTCGAAACAAGGTGTATGATTGACAAAAACTGTACGTGGCGTATGATTGCAAAGAGAATAAAAGATTGCAAAATGTTTCAAGTTAGGACTTTTATTGATAAACATACATGTTCAAGAACCCAAGTTTTTCCTCACCATAGACAGGCAAACAAAAAGGTGTTGGGTGGTTTTCTGGCTGAGTTAATGTTTTTGAATGGCAGGGTATATCGGGGACATGAAATTATGACTGACATGAATGCTCGGTTCAAGATTAGTATATCATATTCTCAAGCTTGGAGAGCCAAATGTTATGCCTTGGAATTGTTGAGGGGGTCGCCAGAAGCATCGTTTGCCCAACTGCCGGCTTATTGTCACAATTTAAAGCTGAAAAATCCTGGGTCGGTAACTCATATCAAAACAGATAGAGATGGACGCTTTGAGTTGCTGTTTATCGCCATTGGTGCTACGGTTAGTAAATCAATATAATTTTGTTGACTCATTTTTGTTAGTTACATGCATTTCACATTTAAATGATTATATTTCTTGTGTATATTATTTTGTAGATTCGTTCGTTTATTACTTGCATGCGCCCAGTTATTATAGTTGACGGAGCACATTTGAAAGGTCGATACCTTGGAGTAAACTTATTAGCAGTAGCCATGGATGCTAACAATGGGATATTGCCAATAGCTTACGGGGTTGGCAAATCTGAAACCTCTGATTCATGGACATGGTTTATGGGGCATCTTAGGGATTGCATAGGTCCTATTAGCAATCTGACAATCATATCCGATAGGGCAAACTCAATTGACAACGCTGTTAGAAGGTGTTTCCCAGATGCTTTTCATGGACTTTGTGGTGTTCATTTGTATAGAAATCTAAAATCAATGTCTGCTGGTATAAAAAAGCACAAATGGACATACTGGAAGGCTGTAAAAGCTTATCGGGAAGTGGATTTCAATAAGCATATAAATTGTTTAAGACGTGTTTTGCCTCAGTGTGCTCAAACACTAGAAGATGTCGGGTTTGAAAGATGGTCAAGAGCACATCAACTTGGAGCAAGATATGGTTTCATGACGTCTAATAGTGCAGAATCAATCAACGCTCTAAGTCGTCATTCCCGGAAATTACCCATTACTATGTTAATGGAGTTTTTTCGAGCCTCTATTCAACAGTGGTACTACAAGAAAAGAAACCATGCAGGTATTATTTCTTTGAATTCGTAACTTATCATATTATATATTTTACTAAGTATTGTTTATTTAAATTTACAGGAACATTGGAACATCGTGTTACACCATGGACTGAAAAAAAGATAACGAAACGTGTTGTGAAGTCAACGTCATGGAGAGTTGAACCATGTTCAAACACTTTGTTTCAAGTACTGGATAATAACTTAAATGGGCTAGTCGATCTAAATGCAAAGACGTGTAGTTGTATGAAATGGCAAACATCTGGTTATCCGTGTGGCCATGTTATAAAAGTTGCTCTTCATTTAAACCAAGATGATTCAAGCGCATA